TGGAGATTGTCCAGGGATGAAAGAAAGGTCAAGGCTTTATTAGCATCATGTGCCTTTGCTTGTAAGGTCGCAGGATGGCACCCTGAGGATCTATGGGAAGACAAAAGTAGGGACGTCACCAAGCACCGTGACTCCTGGCTACACAAGGTGGGGCTGTTGGAGAACCTAGTTCAGGAACATCTTGGTGTCACACATTCAGTGCTGCAGTACTCAATGTGACCGTGAGATGGCAGCAAAGGCTTAGGGTTTCCTGTATCTCTTTGCCGAGGCTGCTGTCTAGTGGTCAGTGGTCATCTGGAGTTCTGCAGACCATATAGGGTCCTGTACTCCTACACACATTTTGCAACTCTGCAGTGAAACAGGCACCGATTTCTTGAATGTATTCTGCTGGGATCATATTCCCGGTCACACTCTGGCAAAAAATACGGGAGAAAAATAGGAAAAATCAAGCACGAAGGGTAGTAATTTTAAAGATTGACATATTACAATTCTGTGTGGCCTTGCTAATGGCACACAGTGTATAACTCTTGCACCCAACTGAGCACTCAATCCCCTTGGCTGGGTTGGGCTCCCAACTCAAAATTTCCTCCTTTGAACCTACTTAGTTTCCATTTTTGGCACAGTTACCTCTGAGGATAAAGGCAGGACAAGACATTTGGATTGTGTTTGTGCAACAAACTCAAAAATTGGAAAGTGCTAAGGACAGACCACCATCTTGATTGTGGATGGGTCCCTGAATCAATCAGAAGCTTGCCTGAAGGTTAGGGTGCTGACTGGCCCAGAGGAGCTACCATCATGAACATAGTCCAGGACCTAATGACCATGTTTGTGTGTGTGTGTGTGTGAGAGAAAGACAGTTAAAGAGCAAAATGTAGGAGGCAGACACTGAAATCTGTCATGTGGTTAGACTCAAGGGTGCAAGGGCAAACAGGGATGCAGGCTTCTAAGTGACAGATGTGATGGAATGTATCTATGAAGAGGAGGGTGGTGTGGTGGATATCAACAGAGAACAAGGTGGTCAGGAAGGAGGGAACACATTCAAGGATGGGCAAAGAGACAAAAGACAACACAGTCCAGAGCAGGAGCGTGGGAAGTGTAAGAGGTTCAGGATAGCCACTCCCTAGAATCTCCCAGGATATATCCACTTGTTG